TCTACAAGGGCATAAAGTAACCACTGAGATCAGTAGACATTCTGCCTCTCTGCCATGGCCTTAACCTGCCCACGCTGCTTGAGTGGCTTCCTCATGCCACCTGAGGGCTTTTGTCTTCTCATGGACCTTCATGTTCTCACTCCACCCCCAATCATTTTGTGAGGGGATCTTAACGTAGTTCATATATTGGAAAACTCCGACATGTGTGCACTTAGACTAAGGGCTAGACCTCTTCTTTTGGTGCTGTCCCTGACTCCTTCTGGCTCATTGGCACAGTGTCTTTCATACAGACCCTTCTGAATTCTCCCATACAGTCTAGAAAGTTCTTCCACGTTGGTCCGGCAGGAACACCACACTCACACATGCAAATCCATCTTATATCTTTCCCTTCCCTGTATCTTTAAGTTCTTTTTCTCCAGTAGCAGTGTATACAGCATTAGCCTTCAAGTCAGTATGTTATCCTTAAGAAAAAAGCGAAACAAATCAGTAGCTTTTCTTTAGATTATTCCCTCCTCAAATTATTCCAGGAATCACTTCTCCACAAATCTTTGGAAGGATGCCCATCTGGGGGCTCTGTTTCCTTTAAATATTTGTTATTTGTAATATTTATTTGTTTGTTTGTTTGTTTTTCTGAGACAGGTTCTCACTCTGTAACCCAGGCTGGTCCCAAATTCACCATCCCCCTGCCCCAGATGTCTGAGTGTGTGGGTTACAGGTATGTGCTTCCTTACTAAGCTCGAATCTTTTCTCCTCAGAAAATGAATATAGACAACTTGGCAAAATGCTTAAGAACTATTCAAGGGAGAGCAAGAGGCAGTCCCACAGTCCCGCCAGAGGCAGAAAAGCACCTGGAATGATGGTCTGACCTGAACAGCCTTTGGAGTTAGATTCTGTGTTCTAATCCTGCCTCCACCATATGCCAGTTGTCTGTCCTGGACCAAGCAACCTCACCAGGCTCTGTCTTTGCTTCATTTTATGCAAAATGTTGCCAACGTGGAATTGTTCCGAAAGTTGGACAGGATAATGCAAACATACAGAAAGTGCTTATAAGGACTCCTGCTACCGAGTAGAACTCTAAGTATGTTGGCTATTTTAATTGTTATCATGCGGAGTTCTAGACTTTCTTTGGCATACATATTTAGATGTGTTTTGATTTGGGATCATGCTGTGTCCATTGTTTTCCCAACTTGCCTTGTCCCTTGGCAGTGGTGTGTTTATGTTTCTTGTCTTTGTCTATTCTTCCTCTGTAGTTTGGTACTGGCGTCAGGGAGGCTAGGCAGCTCTTTGCCATGGGCAAACAATTGTCTCCAGTTGCATCCAAAGAGCGGTCCTGGTTCTCACCTCCTGTGGATCCTTTGATGCTGCCTACTTTCCTTATGGAGGTGCTTTATTCTGCTGACAGTGTTCTCTCCAAGATCTTTTTCTGTGTCTTCGTCTTCCATTCGATGGATGCTCCCCGCTGTCAAATTGCTAAGCCTTTTCCAGAACACTAAATGCATCTTTCCCGTTTCCTATTTTATCTCTTGCTATGTGCTTCACCTATTTCAAACCCTAGGCTTTCGAGAGTAACTTCCTTTTCTCACTTAAAGGTCCTTTCCAATTGCTTATGCACGCAATTTCTGTTAATGGCATTCCTGCCCACCTATCTAAGCCACTTGAAGTTTTCTTTTTCTCTTGAGGATACAGAGCCTCACCCAGTGCCTCCCACCTTCCTCCCAATCTGTCCTCAAATCTTTTCTTATTCCTATCATTTCTACTTTAACTCATGGTACCCAAACCCACCTGCTTTCTCTAGAAATATCGGACGATCCTCAATTCTGAATGTCATCATTTTTTTTTAATTGTCCTCCTCACCCTGCCTGTTTATTTCTTGTCTCCTTCTGTCCCCCACCCTTCTCACTATACAGCCTAGGCTATAATCTCCCAAAGGTGTTGAGAGCATCTTTTTCAAATCTGTCTATGGCCATGTCATATTCTCAGCTGGAAACTTCAATAATGTCTCGTTAGCTTGCTTACCAAGTCCAAGGCTAGCATGAATCCTAGCCATTCCCATCTTTCTTGGGCTACCCTTTTGCTTGGTTTCTTAGAAATCCTGAAATCTCTCCGTGTGTCTCTCTATCTTTGTTTCCTAGCCTTCAGCTTCCAAGGGGAGTCTCCTCCGCCCTAGTAATTCTGGTAACGAGAGGGATCCCCACTGCTTCTCCTCTAGGACCCTTCCCTAGCCTCTGCGTGTCCATGAGGAAGTACTTCTCTCTCTGCTTGCAGAGCCATGTCTCAGTGTCTTCACTGGCCCTAAGCAAGGTGCACAGCGGTGTGTCTATGTCTGTGTCTCTTGCTTTGCCTGACCATCCCTCAGACAGAGTGAAGCTTGAATCGCCAGGACCATTTGAAGCCCAGCAGCCAACACAGCCTTAAAATATTTTGATAATTGGTGAGTGTCATTCCAGAGTCAACTAATATTTTTGCCTGGTAAGAAGTTTGCTAATATGTTTCAGTCATAACATACAAATATGCAAATCAATACACATGAATGGTTCTAATGTTCACTTGCATGTTAATGTGACTAGGCCACAGTACCCAGATACTTGATCAAATGCCAGTCTAGATCAGGTTCTCAACCTGTGGGTCACAACCCCTTTGGGGGTGGAATGACCCTTGGAAAGCACAGTGGAATAGCAACAAACATAATTTTATGACTGTAGAGGTCACCACAACATGAGAAACTGTATTAAGGGTTCATAACATAAGAAAAGTTGAAAACCACTGGTCTGGATAGATCCATGAAGTATTTTTTTTTTTTAAAATATGATTGCTATTTCAATCATTAGGTTTTGAGATTTTATTTGTTTTACATCCTGACAGCAGTTTCCCCTCCCTTCTCTCCTCCCATTCCCACTCCTCCACCCCTCCCCCCACCCCATTCTTCACCCCCATCCTCTTCTCCTCTGCTTCTGTTTGGAAAGGGGAAGGCCTTCCATAGGTGTCAGCAAAGCATGGAATAATTAGGTTTTGCATGAAGCAGGTTGTCCTCCATAAAGTAGTGGTGGTGGGGGTCTCATCCAGTCAGTTGGAGACTGAAGTCTGAAACCATGTTGACCTTTCTGGAGGAAGAGAGGTTTCTTCTAGCCGACCACCTCTGGCTGTGAGATGGTGGACTGTAGGCTTATCTTTTGGCTTAAGACCTCTCAGCCTCTAAAACTATTGAGCAGGGTAATTAAATTAAACCCTTTTAAATCACAGATATATGCTATTCCATTTCTCTGATAAATCCTGACTGATGTAAAAGCCAATATGTCTCTTCTTGCCGGAAACATTTCATTGATTCTCTGTTTACACAGAATCTTCTTATTTTGAAGGGCACAAAACAAGCTAAACAGAAAAGACATGTGGGCTTGAATTCTGTTAGGTTTGTTTGTGAAGATGTATTTGTGGCTCTGTAGTCCCGGGGTCACCCTGAGCTAAGTTCAAATCCTGCCTAGAGCAACTAGGCATACTTGAGCACATCATTCACCTTCCTGTTCTGAATGGGGTTTATCCTGCCACGTGACCAATTATGGCTGTGAGGAGGAGGTCACTGCAGCCCTTGTAAGGGTTGACAACAGCTGCTGACAGGAAGCAAGGGTTCCCTGTGCCCTCGGTGAACTGCTGCATTGCCTCCTCCATTTGCTTAATTGCCTCAGCTTACTCATTTCCTTCGCCAATCTACTAGGGAGAAAAATATGGATTTTGCTTGATTACCTTCAGCGCTTGCAAGCTGAAAATTGATGAAAATAATGTATCATTACTATAAAATTCAACTGTTAGATTTTTTTTGGATAGTTTCTGCTGCCTGGTGCAATGATCTCATGTGTGCCTTCCCAGGGTGGCTCTTCTGTAGTGGTTGCTGTGGCTTATTATTTGAATCAACTGTTGACTTGGATTCTTGTATCTAAGAAGTGCAGAAAGTTCAAATACACTGCTAAAAAATGAAAGATATTTTCATTTACTAAAGCTATAATCAAGACAGAAGGCATTAATTAAGTAATTACTTAAGGAGATAAAGTGTTGTTTTTGAGTTTACTAACTATTCATGCCTGCCAAGGCATGGCTAGAGCTGTCTTTAGCTGCAACATATGCAAATACATACATAATTAGAGAAAACTCTGGGCTTTCTTACTTCTGAAAAAAATAGTGGCTTAAGAATTAGATCTCAATATAAATTTGGTTTGGTAGTGCTAAGTCATTGGATTAGTGGATGGGAAACACTTAGTGGACTATTTTATGAGTATATGTGCATGTCTCAGTCCTTAATTTAAAATGAGACAATCAATTTGAATTTCTTAACATTTTGTCATTATTTAAGAAGTTTCAGAACCGTGTTTAAATGGAGGTGTGTGCGTGTGTGTTATGTGTGTGTGTGTGTGTGTGTGTGTGTGTGCGCGCGCGTGTGCGCGCATGTGTGTTATGAACTTGGTAGTGATGAGTTCATGAGGTTGGATGCCTCAGTAGTCCTAATCTGATTCTGAGGACCTGGATAATTCAGGAAAGCTTTAGTATTTTACTCAGTGGTGAAAGGACAAAGGAGCAGGGTTATGATGCACGTGAAACGTGGCAGGAAGCACCAACAACAGGACAGATGTCCTTGCTCAGAAGAGGGGAATGTAGGCGAGCAAGCAGCACTGATTTTTACCCTTGGATCTTTTTACATCTTTTCTGTCACCAGAGAGTGTTGTCCACTTTGAGGGTCTTTCCTCTCAGTTAATCCTCCGATGCCCTCACCAGCATACCTATAGGCCCATCACTTGTTGATTCCTGAGCCAATGAAACCTACAATCAAGATTAACCCTCACACTGTGTTATACGAATCGCATTATGACATTGCTTTTGGAATTAAATTATTTTTTCTTCCTCTTGATAAAGCATCACATCCACAGAACATCTATGAATTCTGGAAGAAAACAATCAATCTTATCAATGAGGGAAACTCTGTCCATACTTCCTCATGTGCTTTTCCCTCTTAGACCATCAACTTGATCAAAGACACATGAAAGATGTGGAGAAAATGATCTTCATTCTTACCAGTGGCTGATGAATAAGGAAATAGACACACATTCCAGTGAAATATATTCAAAATTACCTAAGAGACATGTAAGTATAAATAATAAACTGAGCATAAAGCTCTATCAGCCAAAGGGACCCATTTGCCTGGAACCATTTAAGTCATTACTCATCTTCCAATCAAGCTTCATTAAGTCAATTCGGATTGATGAGTGTTAATCTCTGTCTTGTACATTTGAGGAAGGAAGCCGCCTCATTTAAGTGGTAATCATTACCTATGTATATACGTATATGCATATATATTGTGTGCTATTTAAGAATATTCAAATTCAGTTTTAACTTGGCTTGAACTCTTGTTAAATATTTCCTTCTTTTTGCGCGTCTTTCTCCCAGTACATCTCATGATAGTCCCATGAAACCAGTATTGTTATGCCCATTTTACAACATAAAAAAGGAAGAAAGAAAAGCACAGTCTTACTAATATACAGAAATTCAACAAAATATTATCTTTTTTTTTTTTTTGGTGAGGAGTGCTTATCTAATGTTGGAGGCTTTTTCTATTCATCTCATATTTACAAGTCTAAATAATTACTTACAAAACTTTTTTGAATGAAAAAAATTCTCAGATGACATAGTTTTTCAAACCTTATCTTTTCCACCAAAAATGAAGTCTTGAGTGTTTAATATAATCTGATTATAATCCTACACTATCTGGCCAATGTGTTAAGCACAGCTTAAATTTGATCTCCTTTGTATATCTATCCATGCTAACATGGTTTGAAATCTTGGACTTGGATGTTTTGTAGACTTGTTGGCTAATGTAGATGTGTTGGGTGAATCTTCCCAGTGGTGGTTCAGGAAACAAATCCTGGATCTGCAGAAGCTGAATCTACTATGTCCTGATGTTGTGTGTCTATTGTCCACAGTAAAATCTGCTTGGCTACTCTGGAGACCCTACAAGAATGAGAGACATTTCTGGAATGTTCTATCAAGTCCTTATGAAAAGTTTCTCGTTTCACCTTTAACTGTAATTCTTCCCCACTAATGTCCGTGCTTTTTATCCCCTACCCCACCACTGACCCAAATTTGTCTCTTCTGACCTGATATGATCATGTCTAGATGTCCCAAGTGACATCATTTTGGAAAAGCCCTTTCTCTGTGTAGTGCTGCAGGACCTTTCTTCTAACTCTTGTCTCTCATTGGGCCCCCCACTAATTTCTCTTCTGCTTTATTTTTCCTTTTAGTGTGCAGGGGGCTTTTTCTTAATATATTTGACAAATGCTTGTCCCCAGTGCCATCTTTACAGCTTGCCTGAAAGTGCTCTGCTGTGGAGCCACCTAACATATATGCTTCCATATACAAACACAGCGCTCCTTCTCTATTGACTTGACTGAAATCTGTGCCCCTGCTAAATAAAACACTTCAGCGCCCAGGCTTGGGCTGCCCATGTGCTGAGATATTTGTGTCTCCTTTAAATTCACTAGGACATCCCAGGTTTGCCTCCAACAATATTTTAACCGAGTAACATGCTGCCAAAACCAATCACATGCTTTCCAAATCTTCTCGACAGCATTACTGATGGCAGATGGTGAGTCTCCACATTTCACCAACCCTAGGACAGTATTGGAACCAGGACTAGCCCGATGCCATTATGCAGTAGGTCACAATGCGTATTTCCCATTCTTTTCTTGACCCCAGCAGAAACATAAATATTTAGAAGCATTCCAAGGTATACGAAGGCTGATAATTGCACATGGTTTTATGTGAACTGTTTACTTGCTGGTACCCAGAGTTGAAGGGGAATTGTTTGCTTTTCTTTTCATAGAAATCACAAGTGTCATTCTGCTATATTTATAATGTCCATTCTCAGAGGTTACTAAAGAATGGCATCTATTTTTCCATGAGTAAAATTGCTCTGAAAATAGATGTAGTCAGGGCTTAAAAATGTGATTTCTCAGAGTCTGCTGTTGTTTCCAGTTAGCATTTAAAAAACAAAACAGAAATTAAATGATTTTTTTTTCTAATTAGTGCCTTATTCTTTGTGCATGCCAATTCTTGACTTATACATTTCAAAAATGTAATTATTATTGTATAAAGTTTGTTATTAGTGTAGCTGCTTATATAAAAAAATGAAAATCATGGTACAATTCTAAATGCAAAAAAGTCTCTTGGGCACCAAGTTATCATGATAAATAGCTTACTGCAAATGCTTGGAATGATTAGTAGGCTCTAAGTTTCCAAGTCTATCCAAATACTCTTTTCATAGCTTATAAAACCTTTGCAGGCAGGGACTATGTTAACTTTTGAAAACAACTAACAGTAACAGCAAAATGGTTCCATTGACCCATGAGTTCTCTACCTATTGCTATAACAGATGCTCAGTAAATGCGTGGTACCTGACTGGGCAGATGTGTTGGTCTGGAAGTGGATAGATTAAGGACCTAGAATAGAAATGGCTTATGACTTTTTATCTTTCTTTCTTTCTTTTTTCTTCTCTTCTTTTTTTTTTTTTAAAAATGTAGTGAGAGTTGATATACTTCATGAGTAAAAACTTGGATTTTTACCTTCTGTTACTTATTAGCTTAACAAGAGTAGAACTGTTATTATTTTTAACATTTATGACCTAAATTTTCTCTTTTCAAAGGTAATAATAATAATAACAATAGCAATAATTCTATAACATAAAAAGACATGGACAGTATAATGATGATATTGAGCACGTTGACTTTCTGGTATTTGAATTTATGGTTTACCAAGTAAAACCTTGAGGCTGGTCCAAAGATTTTGTGAAAATTTTGATGCATATGAAGCACTTAAAATAGCACTTGGGGACTAGGGAGCACTCAAATGTCATTTGTTTTGACTATACAATATTCCCTTTCTTGAGTAAATGAGGGTATTTTTGTGCTTTGTTGTTCACTGAGGTTGGTTTCAAGATAAAAATCAGCACGTGTAACTGCAGAGCACGATAGCATGAATTCACTAGCTAAACAACATGTGCAATAAAGGGGCGTCTGGAGTATGAGAAGGTAATAGAAAACCACCCACGGATGTAATAGGGTTTTCCAGATAAAATGCTGAGTTTGTTTCTTCTGCTGGTTTTATTAATTCATTTGTTCAACACGTGTTAAAACTCAAGTTTGTAGTAGGCATCCGTCGAGGGGTCGTAAACAGAGGCAGAAGTGACATAACCCAGAAAGCATGGCCTCCCATGGCACTTAGAAAAGTGTGTGTGTGTGTGTGTGTGTGTGCGCGCGCATGCGCGCGCGCGCGCGTGTGCCCGTGTGTAACAATGATTAAGATAATGTTAGTGAACATACAGTTGATGACATCTATGAAAGCCATTTGTTTTAAGGAGAAAATCGTTCAGAGTTAGACTTCGGTGCCTCCATTTTCCTGGAGTCGATAGGAGCACCCTCATTCATACCATGAGCTTAGAACCCAGATCAAACAGAGATGGAAGAGTGAATCGTGTTGGGATTCTGGAAAGTTCAGCTGGGTAGAGTGAGGGACGGCAGGCAAAACCCCTCAGGAACACTACCCAGCACATCCGATGACATAAAAGAGGATAGACTTTTCAAAATCACTCTGCCCACGTGGGAGAGAAGAGGCCACAGGCTGAGTCAGAGAGGGAGGCGGGCGTGGCTGTTTTGTGCAAGGTCTCATAGATGCGCAGGATGATTTTAGCTTTCATTTCCACTGAGATGAGAAGGGAGGCGAAGAGCTGTCCCAGGAGAACAGGATGCCACCATTGTGACAGAATTAGTTTGATTACTAGCTTGAAACTGCACAGTAGTGAGGGACAGAGGGGGGGAAGACCCGGGAAGCTTTTGTCTGAGTAGCAGTTACATACTCTTGGGCTCGGATATCGCCCTAGAGATTAAGGAGAAGTGTGCAAGTCCAGCAGCTGTTTGAAGCTAGTTAACACTAAATGTGTTTCCCGGTGCATTAGATGGAGACGGTGCTGTGAAGGCTACTGTAAAGAGAAGAGTCACCATTGACTGTGTAGGGAGGTTAAAGGGATCAAGTAAGAATAAAGGAGCATGTCCGACAAGTGAGGATATTAAGTGACAGCTCTATCTCCATATCCCAAGTCCTGTGTGAAAGCAGGGATTGGATACTAGCATCTGGAAATTGTCGCTGTACAGCCCCTTTAGAGCTCTTGGAATAGCTGAGAACACCAAGGGAAAAGGTGTGGAAAGGAAAGAGACTATGTAATTTTGAGTGTATAATTCTACTCATAACATTCCATTCTCCAGACCCCAAATATTCATGTTTATCAGAGGCATGAGATACATTCATCTAGTCCTAACATTCTTCAAAGTTCCAACCCCTACAGGATCTACTGTAAATTTGAAATTTAGTTTGAAGAGGCTGGGGCTATAGCTTAGTGGATAAGGCACTAGCTGTGAAAGCTTATGGACCAGGGTTTAATTTTCCAGTTCCCTCATAAATGCCAGATGGAATGCCTGCTCTGGGAGCAACAGCTGCCTAGACCGGTCCTATCAACCGAGAGACCTGTGTTCCAGTTTGATTCTGTTACTGTGACAAACACTATGACAAAAATAACCTGTAAAAGTTTATCTCAGCTCACAGATTTCAGTCCATCATGGAGGGGAGTCACAGCAGGAACTTTAGTGGAAACTGAGGCAGAAATCCTGAAGGAATGCTATTCACTGGTGTGTTCTCTCTCTCTTATTCCCTGACAATCAGCTAGCTTTTTGAGACATCCCAGCCCCCCTGCCTAGGGATGGTACCACCCACAGTGGTCTGGGTCCTCCAACCTGCACTCCAGCCAGTTTCTCATAGGCATACCCACAGGCCAATGTGATGGAAGTGATTTCTTAAGGGAGTGTCTTCTCCTCTGAGGTGGTTCTAGTTTCTGTCAAGTTGACAACAAAACCTAAACCAGTGTGCTTAGCTTGATGAATAAGTTGCAGAGCTATTGAGGAAGACATCCTATGTCAGCCTTGGGGCTTCTTATGCACACACATATATGTACACTCAAATGCCATATACATCACCCCCTCTCTCTCTCACACACACAC